CCCGCCCCCGCCGGGTCCCGCCCTGCTGCTACAACGTAGCAGGCGCACTTCCTCCCCGTCCCCTCCCCCGCTACACTGTAACCGCGCGCAAAAAAAAAGAAAAGAAAAAACCCCCTTCAGCTTTGGAATTTTATTCCTTCGCTAATTTTTTTTTTCCTGCCTTAAATGATTCTTTTTCTTTTCCTCCAATTATCCCGAGAGGCCCTTTTACAGGCATATCCCCCCTTTCCTCGCGCCTTCTCTCTCCATATCTGTTCACGCCCTAAAAGGGTCTCATAAAGGGAAATGAAATAAGATAAAATTGACTCCATACATTTTATCCTTCTATCGACGCAAAACTACTGGACTGCCCCTCGGGGACCGCGGGCAAGCAGGGGTCCCTGATCTTTTGTGAAGGAGAACCGGCAGTGCAGCCCACACTGGCGCACCGCGCCCCCCGCCTTTGGATCACCCTCTGCAGCTGCCCGCCCAGCCTCGCCCCTTCCCCCTCCAGTATCGCCCTAACCCCAGCCATGGGGTGGGGGAACGGGATGCACATGGGGCCGAGCTCGCCTCGCTTTGTCTCGAGTCGTTTCCAAGTTTTTTCCCTCCCGTCCTCGGACCGTTAGAAGATCCCCTCCAAGTAAAATCTTACAGATAGTCGGTCTTCCCGGCCCCCAAACCGTCAACAACTTACCCAAAATGAGAAAATAACCTAATTCCCCTTTTTCCGAAAGCCAATTCTAGCTACAAATGTGCCTGCGTATACACACACTTTTTATTTTTGCAAAGCTCGATGAAGGATGGAGAGCGCGAATATCCCACAACCATTCTTCATAACTGATCTGAATTTTTTTCTTCTCGAAAGGAATATAGTTAAGAGATTTAGAATCCTTACCTTGGCACCGATCTGGTTGCCACACTGACCAGCCTGGATGTGCACGATTTCCCTCATGGTGAAAATTTATTTTAGTTTTTTTTTGCTCGCCTCGATTGTGTGCGGGGCAAGAGAACGATATATAATTTTGTCTCTGCGGATCGCAGGCTGCGGCGATGGAACGTGCCCCGGAGGCTGGAGCAGCGAGGTCCGAACGCGGCGGCAGGAAGGTTCTGAGAGGGAGAAAGAAGGAGGGGGGAGGGTGAGGGAGGGAAGGCGACAGGGCGGGGCGCGCGTGCGCGGGGGCTGGGGAGCGGGAGATTGGGTCCCGCGCGGCGGTCTGGAGACAAAGCCTCATCGAGCCTGTCCCTGATTAGTCGATGCCGGTCATATACCAGATGTCCATTGGTCTCTGCGAGAGTGGACGTGCGCGGTCCTCTCTGGGAGTTGTAGTCCTCTATTGTTGTCCACGCTGCAAAATGAGGTGACGAAAGGGTGGGTACCGGGTTTTTTGGTGTTTTGTTTTTTAATGAAAAATTATGACCTTGCGCAAAATCCCTTTCCTCTGTTCCTGATTTTTTTTTTTTTTTTTTGTACAGAAAGGGAGTAGTTTTCAGGGATGCAAGAAGTGGGAAGTCTGGGGTGCCAAAGCATTGGGAGGTGGGCTGGGCACGCCCTGAAAGCTCCTCGCTGCTGCAGCTCTTGGGAAGACTGGGCTGCTTAGCTCAGCGAAAACTGGGGAGTAGTGTGGCATCCTGCTTGGCTACATACCTTCTGGTCCTTTGGTGACCTAGGCTTGAGCTCCAGTAACTCCACTGTTCCCCTACATACCTCTGGAAACAGGAGGGGATTGCCCTCCTGCTATTTCTTTGGGAGTTTCCGAATGATATTTCAAAAGAGAAACAAAATTGCAGCAAGGACTTTTCAAGAATAGAGATGTAGTTGTCTGAAGCGTTGTGTTCAAAGAATAAATTCATTGATTTAGGGAAGCTGATAATCTAGGACCTGTGAAGCCAAAAGTCTCGGTCCTTGTAGGGGATCCGGGCCTTGAAGCAGTGTTGAAGACACCTTGGACTTTTTGTTGAACAGGGAACTGTGGGATTAGATGCCTAATAGAATTCACATTGATCAAGAGTCCCAGAATTGGAAAATAAAAAGGGAGGTAGGTGGATAAGCGCGGTGTGAGGAAAACTGGGTGGGTCAGAGTGGCATGCTCCTTCCTGGAGATTCATTCGATAGATACTAAACGTCCACCAAACCAAGGAGCTAGGGATACAAAATTATTAGGAACTAGCTCCCTGACCTCTAGGACCTTGCAGTTAGATGAAACAAACAAGTAATAACAGTAGAGTGTGGTAAGCACTATAATAGAGGAGATATGATAACCAGGTCATCATTGTTAATTCACATTCAATTTAACACATATTTCTCAGACACTTTCTAAATAAAGGAGCATCACGTTGTATAAGACCCCTTCATGTCCATCCACTCACTTAAGATGGAATGTTTTTTTTAAAAAGAAAAGATGGGATATTCTGTTTTAGGGCTTGATCACAAAGAAACAGTTTGTGGCAGTGGAGAGAGCTCAGAATTTGGAATTAAGAGAACTTGTTTCAATTTGTCTCTGCCTTACTAACTGTAGGAATTTAGGCAGGACATTTAACTTTACAGAACTTTAGTTTCCTCGTTTGTAAAATCGACTTCTGCCTATTTGATTGTTGCGGTCAAAATTAAGTGAGATAACAAATGCGAAAGGACTTCCTAAATTATACACAAGTCAAATTACTACTGTTCTCTTCATATCTTAGTTTGAGGTAATGAAATAAATGATTTTATTATCTTCCCCTCACCCTTTGAAAGGTGCGGACAGATCTCGGTCATCCTTTAAGATAAATTTGACATATACATAACCGTCCTCTCTGTTTGCCTAGGGATCTTTATTTTAAGAAAATGACCTCAAAATGTCCGTCAGGAATGTATTCCCAGGAAGAAAAGACAGGACTTCTACAAAGCAAGCCAAATAAAAAGGAAATGAAATTCCATTGCTATGAGGAGTCCTTAAGCGCCACGCCTTAGAACTGTTCTCCAAACTGCAGCCTGCAGCCACGACTGCAATCCGCAACCCATTTCTCATGAGTCAGCAGACACCATGCCTGGGAGGACCGACGAAGGGCGCTCTGGCCGCACCAGACTCATCGGGCGACGTCTATGGTACAGACCCTCTATCCGCCGCCAGGAGCTGGTGTCAGACTCTGTGGTCGTGGTTTGGAAATCTGCGCGCGAAGTGGGAGGTGGGAGGTGAAGCGGTAGTAGGTTGTCCCATCGAGCTGCCCAATCGAGGTGCGGTATTCTGTGGGCGCACGGCAGCCTCCTATTACAGTGTCACTTAACGGATCTCAGCCTCCTTGCAGCCTTTTTG